TGATAGAACATATCAAAAAGTATACTTTCAATAATCTATGACCTTCAAAACTTGTCCGCTATCAGAAAGCAAAAATAGTTCTTCAATCTTTGGAAACATCACAAACAATAATTTGTCTGTTTGCAGAGCCAGAAAGATGTTAACTCTGTTTTAAAGTATATGAGTTAACGCCATTCCGGCTCTTAACAGACAGATTGCCCTATGTTCATGTTAACAACAGACCGAGCAAGAGGGGGGAGGGGGGGGGGGGGTTAGAAAGCATGATTTTTCCCCCCTAAAATCAGAATAACACTCCTGTATCTGTTATTGAGAATCTGTCTTCTTTCAATCAACACACAATTCATCTTCTACCGCTGCTATATTACTGCCAAAAGATTTGAAAAACAATTCTGAGAGCTCCCTCGTAAAGGTGATGAGCACACCTCATAAACTACATTGTTGCCCCGATTCTCGGCGTTACAAACACTTATATCTGAGCAGTGTCTGAGCATCGTAGACTGATTAATTTGTAGCAAATATTAATCTCAATCATTCTTTTCTTTAAACAAAAAAGTTTGCCTTGTAAATCCACTGAGACAAATATTCCCAGAGCGTTGATGTTTAGGTTCTTTGCATAAAGATGGAGAGTGGGGGGGGGGGGGGGGGGGGGGGGACAAATTTTCAGTTCCCTTGTAAATACTGTCTTTACCATTTGTTCAAGTCTAATTCCCTGCTCTTCGATTATACAAGGATGCTTTTTTTTGGGGGGGGCGGAGGAGGTAGATACCATTTTAAATTCCATAATGAGTACCGTATTTGTTGTAGTCTTTCCTGATCTGGGGGACAGAGATACAATTTTCATTTCCCTCGTAAGCACTGTCGATTTCCACCATTTATTGTAGTCTTTCCTGCTCTTCAATTATACAAGGACGTGGTGTGGTGAGTGTTTTTTTTTTTTTTTGGGGGGGGGGGGGTATACAAATTTAAGTTCTCTGGAAAGAATACGGTAATAATAATAAAAATGGTGCTTATAAAGCGCTTACCACCGAAGTATCTAAGCGCTATAACCCTTTCTACCATTTGGTTTTATAGTCTTTCCTGCTTTTCAATACCATGTTTCCTTTGCAGGGATTTCCTGGCTTGTGACCCTTGCTTCCTCAGACTTTTACATTTACAATCATACCAACATCTGATCAGCAAAACTCTAATCCATGGTTAATCCATACCATCAAGGTAAAAAGTTTGTATGTTGCTGATGTTCATGAGATTATTTTATTTTACTTTTTAGTACCTCACAGCAATGGGGAAACATTAAATGAGTACTGTAGAACCTGTCTAGAAAGGCCACCTGTCCACAGTGGCCTCTTTCTCTGTTTCCCTAGAGTGGCCTCAATAGACAGGGATGACTGTGTAACTGAAGACATACATAACCTATATGAGGGGCACCTGGGACACATGGGCACCTATAATCCTGGTCCGTACCCCTGACATTTCAAACTTTTAACATATATGATGCCCATCAACACCTACCCTAAAATTTCCTATACAGACCCCATGAAAAATGGTGTGGAGAGCCTGCAATATGGATAATAAGAAATAAGAACTGAATCTGGATCACTCGAGAAATTTGCAAATGATTATTGCATGCATACAGCTGTAGGTTCCTGGTTTTACAATTGACGGTCAGTATTGGTTATAAGGCCTACAAAAAAAAGATGTATTGTATTGCCCTTTAGGTGCCAAAACATAGGTCGGTAGGTCGGTCGGAAATCTTTTTAAAAAAAATATATAATTTTTTTTTTATTTCCTTCTCCCTCTTTGGGCTGATATTTCTCAGTTTTGAAAGCCTTAATATTTTTTTCTCTAAAAAAAAGGGTTAATTTTTAAAAATTTTTTTTTAAAGCCTACAACAGATTTCAAGATTTCGGGGTTGGTCACAAAGGGCAATACAACATCCTTTGTTTTTAGGCCTAATTGAAACCCTCCCCTGAATGGTTACCTTTTAATTCACATTCCTTTGTGAGCAATACGAACACACCTAAATTCTTGAATCATTGACCTAATTACCTCTACTACAATATCCTGGATCAGATAAAAACTAACTTCCTTTCTGCATTAAGCAGTATAGGGCTCTACTGTTACTTACACAAATGGGACTGTCCGCTATCTTTGTTCTAATGGCGAGGGAAATGGGCAGGTTGCCTTTTGTTTGCAATCGCTTCTGCACTTCTGATCACCAATAAAACACAATAGTATTTCCAAGGAACTGGTAATAAATAGTCTCCAGGTACGTACAGACTCAAGATAAAGGCTTCGTCAAAACATTGGCAGACTTACATGTACTGCACATCTGATAACCAATTAAACACAATAGTATTTCCAAGGAACCTGTAAAGATTCGTTTCTAGGTACAGACTCCAGACTTAGGCTTCCTCAAAACACTGAATGCTTTCTAGTTGCAAGCTCAATGTCTCTACTCGCTGCAGACTGAAAACCCTGACTGTCAAATTTTAAAGATTTTTATGTTCCATATACATTGAATGTGTAATAAAAGTCCACTGTGGCAAACAACTGTTTGTTCCAATAGTTGATCAAAGCAGACAAAGAGTTAAACCTGAAGATAGAGTAGGCCACTCTATAATCATAGGTTTTGAAGGTCTTTCCTCACAGAAATCGGGTCTTCCAGACAGACTCCAAACAAAAACTCTTCTTGGGGACACCACTTGTACGTTTCCTTAGTATATATCCAAGTGAAATTAAGGATGTTTATCCTCTACCACTTTGTACAGTCTCTGACCAATCCTCATTGAGTGGAAATGGAAGTAAGAAATTTTATCTCAACTACACTCTTCCGACGTTGCCACAAACATTCTCCACAAATTCTGTGACGGCACCATGTCATATGGCATTTCCCATTCCAAGCGTGCTCATCGCCAGCCGGCTAATTTGGACCAGAGTTATGATGAGCCAATCTCCCAAGTGCACTATGATCTGATAATTGTGGCTGTATCCTAGAGTCATTTGGTGCGAGAGATTTTATGATCCTCTCTCAAGCACCTTTCCTTAAAGGGATTGGGTATCTTTGTCTCAGATTCTGAAACAAAATCCTGGATTTAGCTCATGCTGCAATCTTAATTATAGACCTTTACGTCAGTTAGGAACCCTAAGACTTTTACAAGCTGATCGCCTGTCTGATTATCAAGATATTTATGATCGGAAATCAAAATTTCAAAAACCGTTTTCCTGATGGTTTTTATAACGCTACAGTCTACTAGGGAAAATCAGTATGGTAAAACTGGTCACTCAAAGATTTTTACTTTTTTGAGGCACTTCATGATCATTTTGAAGCAAATTTTGTTAGGGCTTCAATATTACACCATATCACAGACACTGATAACACAAAGGGCCATGCATCTCAGAGTTAACATTGCTAAGCGATGCCTTTAAAGAGAAAATGCAAATTTTCACATTTGAACTTGTTTTGAGAGCAGTTGAGCATGCAGTAATGGGTTTGAAACAAAGGTTCTGTATGTGACCCCTCTTTCAAATGCCATTCTCTTGCCAGTCCTCAAGTTTTCTTTCTTGTTTCACTTTCTCTTTTTCTTTTGTAGTGGAGGGATGCTCACTCTTACACACACACTCTCTCTCTCTCTTTCTTTCTCTCTCTCTCTCTCTCCCCCTCTCTCTCTTTCTCTCTCTTTATCTCTTTCTCTCTCTTTATATCTTTCTCTCTCTTTATCTATTTCTCTCTCTCTCTCTTTCTCTCCCCTCTCTGTGTCTAATTCTAATATTCGTTCTCTATCTCGTTATAGAGAGCTTTCAATTTTTCTTATTTAAAAAAAATGTATGTTTGAAGTCAACCTTGTTTTAATGGCCAGTCTCTAGAGTCTCTACAATGGCCATTTGTCTAGAATGGTTATTTACATCATCTCCCTATAGAAGCTGTATATAAAAGCTGCCTGTCTGAGGCACCCACTTTGTTTGTCTCCCTAACAGAAGTCCTTTTCAAACAGACAGGCACGTTGTCTTGATTTCATCTTTTCTTCTTCTTCTTTATCTGTAGATAGTTGGAAACCATCTTCCGTGATACATCAGCCACATTTACACAACAAGCAAATGTTGTTGATTTTTCTCACATTTTGGTGTTTTGTCTAAAGTTTCTAACAACTACCGTCAATCACAACAACAACATTTTTAAAAAAATCAAAAAATCACAAATCCATCTCTGGAATGTTTTTTTTCAAACACCGGAAGAGATTTCAGCAATATTTGTAAATACCCGCTCTCGAACATTGGTGAATGATACCAGTTTGTTGTCACTTAACAGTCCTTGTTTCTGTGCGATCGCGTGCAGAGCAGCGACAAGGTGCACATGCGCACAACTCAACAACAACTTGTAAAACGAGGAAACACCCACGATTTGTATGGGTTTTTTCAGCAGTGTGAATGAGAGTCCAAAAAAATTGTTGACTTTGAAAATGGTGTTTGGGCCGTGTAAATGGGCCTGTTGTAGCTACCTAGTTTCGTAAACAAATTTCCTAGAGGTGTGATGGTGTAGTGGATAGGATTTGATCACCTCACTGATGTCATTAGGCCTGTCCTCATCAGCTCGAGATTGCCAAATAACCTGCTATTTCTGATTTTGGAAATAAGTCCATGTTACAAATCGTGTCTTCATCAGCTTGAGCCTCGACCTCGCAACTTAAAACTTGACCTCAAGATATTTTGCTCAGCATTCTCGCATAGTGCATGGCTGGTGAAGACGCACCGAACAGATAGCGGGATATTTTGCCAAAAAGCAGGATATTTTACAAATTAGCCCAAGATATCTTGGGATGATTATCTCGACCAAATATCCTGCTAATTGCAACTGCAGGCTAAAAAAGACACAAATTAGCTGAATAATTTGCGATCGGGATAGTTCAAATAGCGGGTTATTTGGCAATCTCGAGCTGATTAAGACACGCCTAATGACATCATCCAGGTCTGACAAAAGAAATGTAGTGGAAGATGTAACATACCTTCATGGTGTTTGTGCCTTCCATCGGCATGGAAACCCTGTCTAGATGACGTAAAGATGTGCCTCAATTCAGATCCATTCCTGATGCAAAACAAGATAAATATAGAAACAGAATATTATGCAGTACATTCACGCAACACTCTGGACTTTTTTGATTCTTCCTAAAAGCTCAAAACTAAGAAGGCGGAAAGGACCCTTGCTCATGCAGGGCCTTCACTGTGGAATGCTCTCCCTTGAGAGAAAGAGAGAGAGAGAGAGAGAGAGAGAGAGAGAGAGAGAGATTGGTAATGGCCGATCAGTTGAAGTGTTTAAAAAACAAATTAAACATATCTGTTCAATTCGGCATTTGATTAATTATTCTGTAATTTTTTAATGTTCTGTCTGACTTCAGTTCCTTGTTTATAATGCAGATGCTTCTCATGTGATATCTCTTTTTGTGTTTGTTTCACAAGTGCGCCTTGAGCATCTGATTTTGAGTGGACTCGGCGCCTTACTATATATTACCTATAATCTCAGATATCATTATTATTATTCTGGTTTTGATGATCATATTGGATTTCATAAATGCGTATGTAGTCTGAAACATATACAAGAAAATATCCTTGGATTTAAACCATATTTACACAGTTTCTTTCCAGTTTCAATAGATTACATGTTTTGTTTAACAGGGTTATTCAGAGTATCTGCACCTGTTGCGTTAAACTTGAAACTAAACTAGGTCAATGCTTGTTATGTTATGTTTGGTTGTTAAACAAGGAGTCCTATCAGGATTATATCTGTCGTGTGAACACAAGCACATGTACACGTATATGTACCTGTTTACACTAGAAATATATCGAGAAATGTATGAATTAAAATTTTCACACAGAGTTATTCCTTCTGGCTGTATATAAAGCAACATGTGTTACCGGTATGTACAAGAAGATGTACTCTCTAGTGACAAAACTAGAATCCACTGGGTTTGATCAGGACTAAATCAGTGGTATGAACAGGGAAAGAAACTTCATACCCACTAACACCAATATAGTCAACAGCCTCCCATCTTTGGTTAAAACAGAACAAAATGAATTGGAGAGGCCTACCATTAGGCTACATTCTTATTTTCTCTGATAGAATATACGGTAAATTACCACATGAGATACTATTTACATATGAAGATCTGATTCCACAACTAACGCATTAAATATTTGTATTTTAAGTATTATCACTTCAGGATGAAATTCACAGCATGAAAAGAACCAAAATGTACACACTGTATATCTACCTCCACATGAAATATTCATAAAATGGGGTACTATCAGGAATAAATTCTCCATAAGAACTTCACCAGAGGATCTGTAGGGGCCTATGCACTTAACATATTCATAGACTGGGGATCCTTTTTGTTTAAAACCTTCGGTAAGGATGGTAAATGATTGTGTCCCCACGGTGAAATAGTCATTAAATGGGGCTCTATCAGGATTAAATCATCTGATAAAATAAAATGAGATCGTACTTAACGTTTCCATTGGTAATGGAGAATAACGTATCAAAGGTAATTCAGAAATTAATCAGAACCGGTAAATTGCTCAGGAATAATCAAAAGGAGTACCTTGAGGATTAAGTCATCACTATAAATGAGACTAGAATATATGCATGAAAATCTTAGAATTGCCATCAGTAATATCATCATCAATGCAGTAAACTTGCTGAAGCTCAATTTACTTAAAAATTAAATTTATAGTATGAACTGGTCAACAATGTGTGATATTTACCCTCTTGTATCTACCAGTATACTGCATACATTTAACTTTTGTATTAAATCATCGGTATGAACAGTATCACATGACATGAATAAGTAGTAGCAGCAGCAGCAGCAGTAGTAGAAGTAGTAGTATTAGTAGCAGAGGTAGTAGTAGTAGTAGCAACAGTAGCAGTAGCATTAGTAGCAGCAGTAGCAGCAGTAGCAGCAGTGGTAATAGTAGCAGTAGTAGTAGTAGTAGTAGTAGTAGTAGTAGTAGTAGTTGTATAGCAACAGTAGCAGTAGCAGTAGTAGCAGTATCAGCAGTAGTAGTATTAGTAGAAGTAGTAGTAATAGTAGCAGTATTAGTAGTAAAAGTAGTAGACTACTTTATTGGATGACCTGCAATGTTTAGCACATTTACCACAAGGTTCATGTATGTAGGTACCAACAAGATTAATTGCTAGGTATGAATGGGGCCTGAATGTATGGTCTTTCATTCAGATGTTGATTGCTTCTAGCCGAGATGGGTCCCTTGGTAGCAAGGGTAATACGCAGCCTCTCTCACTAATGGTCCATCAAGACATAAAATGGGAGAGGCACCTTGCAGGGGGACCAGCGTCAAACCGAACAAACAACCGTACAAACAACCATTTTTCCACAAACCATGAATCTATTGAACATTCTATGTATACTTTACACGTACAATGTACATGGTAGCCGCTTACAAAAAGAAATAAAACACAAAAATACAGTTAAATTAATAAAAATATATTAGTAAATAAATATAGACTTGTGCGCTCAGGATTAAATGCCCTCTTAACTATCAATAAAGCCCTAGTAAATATACAGGAAACTTGTAAGCAATCAATGATTCAAATTTGACTTTTTTGTAGAGTGACATAAGGTAGCTTGTGTGTAAATCTACCATTCTCAAGCTTTGAAAGAACTTAAAGTTATGCTTTTTTAAACTTGTAAAAAATCAAAGCGGGTCCTGGAAATGATAGAAAATACAACCTAAAACTTGAATAAATGAAACTTAACAAAATTAATACAGGATGTTCAAGGCAGTACATATTTCATACTTTTTACAGATTTGGTAGAAAATGAAATTTTGTTGAGAAATTAAGATGAAGAGAGGGAAATCAAATCAATACTATTTGAATACAGAATGTAGCCTCATGATGTGTGACTACTAGAGGGGAGGGGGGGGGGTGACAAATTTTTATTAGTTTAATTAAATATGGTTGGTCAAATACAAATGCAGCTAGCTCCCCTCATAAAACAGTTACCATAAAATCAACTTGAAAAATGTAAAACTCTAGATAATTTGGGGTAGAGCCCATGTAAAAATCCATGATAAAGCAAATTCCATTCATATCCAAAAGGTTAATTTGATGTTTATTTGAAATCAACATGTTACTTCCTTGCACCTAGCTAGCTCCACTTTCATAGGATGTTCATATTACCATTGTTTTACTGAACCCCCAAACAATTCTTGTTTTCTGAATCAAATTGACCGGCAATCATCATCAACCAGCCCAAGCATATGTACCCAAACAGGTGGGTCATCGCCGGGGGCAACCAGGGAGAGGAAATGAGCAAATTATGGCAAAAGGTGTCGCCCTCATTTCCTCCATTCTCAAAAGGACCAGTGACAGGAATGTACAACGTACATACAGAAATGTAGAGGGGGCTCTTTGCTTTTGAAGTGGAGTGTTGGACAGTGGTAACCTTTCACCTTTTGACTCCTGACCTTTCTTAGTTCTAGACGCTTAATACAGGAATGATCTAGTTCCTGCTGGCAAGAGTTAAGCAGGTCATATAATTATTACATTTCTTTTTAATTTCCAATTCAAAGGCAGCAGCTGCTGAAAACAATACCTCATCATTTCTTGATTTTAGCTTGTAAAGAAGCAGGATTAAGATACTTTTTCCGATCCCAGCATTCTGTTTTTGTTATAGCGGTTTACTCTGATGTGTGTAAGACAAAAATATTTAGTACACCTACATGTACATTCATTATTATTCTTAGACTTGGTAGTACCAATCATTGCTGTTGGTTTGTGTACACCACTGCATGATCCACAAAATTCAAGCATGTATAAATTGAAACGTGCAAGGAGTAATAAACTGATGTACAGTATGCAAAGCATGAAGTCCCTTGTGGCCAGGCTCCAGGACTTCATAAGGCTCTTAGTTAGATGCACTTTGGTGCAATCTGAGCTGTATATAAGGACTATCGGTATTACATTAAAATCCTAGTTGAGAATTAATAATGACTTGTAGCTGGTTTTCAAACCTGTACAATACAAATTAAAATCTGTCCTTGTAGATCACCCTGTGCCCCCAATCTCTTATGTACATAGTTGCGATCAATATCAATCGCAAATGAGTTGTGATTGATATTTAGTCTTTATAAGACAGGGCCTAGTGTAGGCAAATTCCATCATATTCTTACAGTATGCTTCAAATATTAAAAGATGAAGTATTGTTACATCTAAATATAATTTTTTGTATAATGACTCTTGCTATAAAACTGCTTTGAGGTCTTTCAGAATATAATAAATCAAAATAATATTGAATGAATAGATTTCTTAAAATTATTTTAATCCATGCTTATAAATAATAATAATGGATTATCAAATAATTTTAGAATTATCATCTCTGTCATCATCAATAGTATCAATTTCAAATATGAAATTGTAAGAATGATGTAAATTCTTCATTCATTTCATTTTTATTCATCAGGATACAAATGTCTTTTTTAATCAAAGAAATTGCATCCAAAATAAAATCATTGAAAAGAAAGTATACAACATAAATTAATTAGATCTCAAACACCTTGTGCCAGTTATTTTGCAATATATACTCTCAGAATATCTTGACAAACACCTAACTCTTAGGAAATATTCATCATATATTATTCAAGCTGTCGTCATTTTACAACCATGCTGTCTCCATGGCGATAGATAATGATATATAAACAAAACCAAAGTCTGCATGACGCGGTGCATCATTGACAGAAAGATTGACTTTTTGTGGCGTACTTCTTCTCTATCATATTAATCCCTCGTCATGGCAACGTTTTAGATACACATACACCCCCATCCCCCAGATTAACAACAAAAACCATGTTGCGTTAAATTCATTTGCACAATATGCTGTATTTACGGTGTTCATAAACTGCAACTACTTAGTGAGCTATTCTCGTTTGATGGATGCTGCATTACCAAAGACCGTGAACCTCCAGCGTGTCGCCATGGCAACAGCAAACAATCAAGATGGCCACCAACAATAAAGCTAATTGACATCACCTTGCCTTGCCAAGCGAGACGTCAATATTTGTGCTGGAAATCTA